TTTGCTCTGCCTGCCCTGGCCCTGAGCAGCTCCCTCCTCTCCCGCAGCGCGCTCTGGGACATCGAGACGGGGCAGCAGAAGACCGTCTTCATAGGTCACACCGGAGACTGTATGAGCTTGGCTGTCTCCCCAGACTTCAAACTCTTCATCTCCGGGGCTTGTGATGCTACTGCCAAACTGTGGGACGTGCGGGAGGGCAGCTGCCGCCAGACCTTCCTGGGGCACGAGTCTGACATCAACGCCATCTCCGTACGTATGTGGTCTGCAGTGGTACTGAGGCAAGGACAAGGGAGGGCAGACCAGCTCCAAAGTAGGGTCCTGGGACAAGGTTAGAAGAAGCTGTCACCATTGTGTGGGGGGCAGGGGGGTCTCGGGAGACCTTGGCCCCATGATCCAGTCTGAAGGAGGGAGGACTTGAGGGCCTTTTTGCTGGCACTGGAGCACCAAAGCACCTGGGTCTGACTCAAAGCACTGCTTGGACTCAGCCAGCACACTATGGTCTGTGGAGCTCAGCACCCTGGCACAACTTTGCTCATAGTAGCTGCTGGGAACCATGCTTCAGGCATACTCCAGGAGCCCTGGTGCAAGGCACAAGTGAGGCAGCCAGAGTACCCAACTCAGCTCAGGGTCTTAGCTCCAGACAGCAGAGGTGGGAACGTGGGATCACAGGGAGGTCTTCTGAAGATCAAGTCTTCATAGGAGGCAGCAGAGACATTTGGGGGCAAATACCTCCCTCAGAGGCAAGGATTCAAACCAGAGCCCTAGAAGTGGCAGGACAAGAGATATGTCAGTTAAATCTCCAGCAGCTAACCAAGTGAGCCTACCAGCTCCCTGCCACGTCTGCTGCTGGAACCACCCTCCACTGACCTCAGATAGTACAGCTTTCCTCACCTGTCCCATGGCTACCCTACCAGCTGTATGGGTTTCTGCCATACCTGCTCCCAAGGAGCTTTTTGCTCCTTAGAGCAAGGATACAGAAAAGAAGTGTCTGAGAAGGGTATGAGGATGAGGCAGAGGAAGGCTCTCGTAGCTCTGAATTGTCAGACCCTGTCTGGGGGATAATGGGTGGGCACTTGTCAAGCCTTGAACTAACAGCTGGAGGTAAAGGGGCAATAATCCTTCCCCAAGCACTAGGTCAGTTTGCAATAGCTGTAGCCCCTACATCAGTTGCTTTCTTGAGGTGGAAGTGGATTACTAAGTCTTAAGCATCGGCCTCCCCATTCAGCAGACTCAACTTTCATGACCCAGTGTCTTGTCCCACTGGGTTTTCCTACCTCCATGACCTCCTGGGGGTTGGCAGGGAGGTGAAGTCGGGAGGAAATCTGTGCAGCACAGCCTGGTGAGTGCCTGGTGTGTGCCTCCCTCAGTTCTTCCCCAACGGTGAGGCCATCTGCACCGGCTCAGATGATGCCACCTGCCGTCTCTTCGACCTCCGGGCAGACCAGGAGCTCATTGTCTACTCTCATGAGAGCATCATCTGCGGAATCACGTCAGTCGCCTTCTCCCGCAGCGGGCGCCTCTTGCTGGCTGGGTACGACGACTTCAACTGCAACATCTGGGACTCCTTGAAAGCAGAGCGTGTGGGTGAGTGGCTCCTGCAGGGACCCTCTTTCATTCCCTGCAAGGTCTTCTCTCCGTCCTTCCTCAGTCCTACTGTCACTTCAGGGTCAAATGAGGCTTTGCTGTGAGAGGGTTCAGCTGGCCAGACCTTCCCTAGAGCGTTGTTCCTTGGCCAGCCCCATGTGTGGTGGCTGAATGCCATGCACAAATGTTCCTCTGCAAATTTCTGCTTACTGCCAAACACGGTAACTGTACCACGTTCTGCAGGAACAGACTGCATGATACACAGAGGTGTGGGTACACAGCCCACGTTGCATGTCCTCAGCGTGGTCAACACCCCACTTCTTTTCCTGACCTCTCTTCTTTTCCCCATAGGAATCCTTTCTGGCCATGACAACAGAGTGAGCTGCTTAGGGGTGACAGCAGATGGGATGGCTGTTGCCACTGGCTCCTGGGACAGCTTCCTGAAGATTTGGAACTGAGGATGGCAGCAGGAAGGGAAAGAAGCAGCATTGTCAGCTGAGCACAACAGAAACGCCTACCTACCACTCCCGCTTGTCTCTAGACACAGGTCACTTGTAGGGGTCTCCTAGAGTGAAAGGGAAAGGAGAGGTTGGACAGGGGGAACAGAGGGAGCTGGGGAGCAGGAGGAACTGAGGAGCAGGAGCACACACACTGGCACTTCACCTCAAAACCAGCCCAGTAGTTTCCAGCCTCATGCAGGCTTGAAGACCTACAAAACACTGTTCATTATGTCTCAGGACTTCACAGTTTAGACACCCTCTACCCACTTTGACACCCATCCTTCACAGGACCCCTCAGCCAACACCTCTGCCCCAGACTAAGCTCTGTCCCTGATTTAAATCTACCCAGCTTCTCTGTGCAGCTGCCCTCTATCCCTGCAGGCAGCCTCAGAGATCTATTTGGTTTGGAATTCCTATCATGTAACCTCAAACAAAAAACTGGTGTAAATTTGGCACGTTTTCCAATAGGGAAGTCTTGGCTCAAGTCTTATCTATGCATAAGTGGGGGAAAGGTAGCCCTCAGATGTGCCAGAATACAAGGGAATATTCTATTTGTTCTTATTTATCGTCTGCTTCTTGCTGTTCCTTCTCTTTTTGCTTCACTCCTGCACCGTGTGATGACCCGGTCTGACCAGTAGCCATCAGCCCATGTTTTCAAGTCTGTTGTAGATCTTCATAGCCCAGGCAAATAAAGAAAGCTCACATAAGCACTGCAGGCTGTGTTCTTTCCAGCATTGCAATGAGCTACTGCAAACAGAACTCCCCTCCTGTGAATACTGCCTGCTGATCCCATCCTAATCACAGAATCACAGAACCCCAGGGGTTGGAAGGGACCTGGAAAGATCCCCCAGCCCAACCCCCCTGCCAGAGCAGGGTCACCCAGAGCACATCACACAGGAACGTGTCCAGGTGGGTTGGAATGTCTCCAGAGAAGGAGACTCCACAGCCTCTCTGGGCAGCCTGGCCCAGGGCTCTGTCACTCTCACAGGAAAGAAGTTCTTCCTGATATTTACACAGAACCTCCTGTGCTCCAGTTTGCACCCACTGCCCCTTGTCCTATCACTGGTCATCACTGAACAAAGCCTGGCTCTGCCCTCCTGACACTCACCCCTTACATATTTGTAAACACTGATGAGGTCGCCCCTCAGTCTCCTCTTCTCCAAGCTCAAGAGCCCCAGCTCCCTCAGCCTTTCCTCATCAGGGAGATGCTCCACTCCCTTCATCATCTTTGTAGCTCTGCACTGACTTATAGAATCATAGAATCATAGAATCTTAGGGGCTGGAAGGGACCTCGAGAGATCATCTAGTCCAACCCCCCTGCCAGAGCAGGGTCACCTAGAGTACATCACACAGGAACTCATCCAGGTGGGTTTTGAATGTCTCCAGTGAGGGAGACTCCACAACCTCCCTGGGCAGTCTGTTCCAGTGCTCTGTCACTCTTACAGTAAAAAAATTTTTTCGGATATTCACCTTGAACCTCCTATGCTCCAATTTACACCCATTACCCCTTGTCCTATCACTGGTCATCACTGAGAAAAGCCTAACTCCATCTCCCTGACACTCACCCCTTACATATTTGTAAACATTGATGAGGTCACCCCTCAGTCTCCTTTTCTCCAAGCTAAAGAGACCCAGCTCCCTCAGCCTTTCCTCATAAGGGAGATGTTCCACTCCCCTAATCATCTTCGTAGCTCTGCGCTGGACTCTTTCGAGCAGTTCCCTGTCCTTTTTGAACTGAGGGGCCCAGAACTGGACACAATACTCCAGATGTGGCCTCACCAATGCAGAATAGAGGGGGAGGAGAACCTCTCTTGACCTACTAACCACACCCTTTCTAATGCACCCCAGGATGCCACTGGCCTTCTTGGCCACAAGGGCACATTGCTGGCTCATGGTCATCCTCCTGTCTACCAGGACCTCCAGGTCTCTTTCACCTACCCTGCTTTCCAGCAGGTCAGTCCCCAACCTGTACTGGTACATGGGATTGTTCCGCCCCGGATGCAAGCCTCTGCACTTGCCCTTGTTGAATTTCATCATGTTTCTCCCCGCCCAACTCTCCAACCTATCTAAGTCTCTCTGAATTGCAGCACAGCCTTCTGGTGTGTCAGCCACTCCTCCCAGCTTAGTGTCATCAGCAAACTTGCTGAGGGTACATTCTATACCCTCATCCAGGTCGTTGATGAAGATGTTGAACAACACTGGTCCCAGTACTGACCCCTGTGGGACTCCACTAGTCAGTCTACACTTGCCTTTGTTGAACTTCATCAAGTTTCTCCCCGTCCAACTCTCCAGCCTGTCCAGGTCTTACTGAACAGCAGCACAGCCTTCTGGTGTGTCAGCCACTCCTCCCAGCTTAGTGTCATCAACAAACTTGCTGAGGGCACATCCACAGGCCTTGCTCTCTACCCCAAAGTCCCCAGGGACTTTTGTTCCTATTTTGGATCTCGCCCTCATGCCAGACCCTTGCAATAGGCTACAGTTCTTTGTCTACATTAATTTCAGACCAATGTTGATGCAGCAGAACTCCAGAAGTTACACTGGATCCATCAGACTCCTGCACAGAGCTGCAGCTTCCCAGCCCACGCTGTAGTACACAGGTTCAAGGTCAGACCCTTCACAGCAGGACTCTTACTGTCCTACCAGGACATATATACAGTCAGCAAAGGCTTAACACAAATTTATTTGCTACAGATAAGAACTCTACAGTAAGTCAATACAGCTGATATCTAACAGAAGAGACAAAGTCTGTACTGTACATAAGAAATACAAAGCTAGAGGAGAGGGAGGAGGTGCCCTCTCCTTAACTGAGATAGGTGAGCAGAGGGACCACAAGGCTGACATTTCAGTCTATTGCAGGATTTCTCACCCCTAGAAGAGTCTCAAAATACAGAGGCAAGATCCTGGAAAAGGGGATCTTTAGTTCTCCACAAAGGGACACCGTTGGTTCTCTTTGTTCAAGTCACTCCAAGCACAGTTCCCAGATTTGAGGCTCCTGTTCAGATCTGCTGTTACTTCCCTCTTCTCTCCCAGGTTCTCCCCCAACACATGCCTCTTACCCTAGAGAGATAAAAAAACCCCAAACAGTGTGAAACATGTGAATTGAGGGTTAGTTAATTCTCAGTGGGACACGTAGCCCATTTTCAGGCCATTCAGCTTTGGCTCTCTTGTGACCAAGTCCAAGTGATGGACTTCTTACAGCTCAAAGAGAAAGGATGCGCTGAACAGGCAGTGTCATGGAAAGGTTAAAGATGCAGATAATTGAACGAGACTTGGAGGCACCCAGGAACAAGACTGACACACAGGAAAACATTGATGAAGTCACCAGGCTCTATGGGAGGCCACAGTTCCCAACTGGGGGCCTAAAAATACAAGAACTGAAGGATTTGGGTTTTTCAGCCCCTTTCTCCCTCCCACAGCACAACTCGTGGAGCTTTACCTGGCGAGGGGCAGGAGAGCTGGGGGCATTATCATCCAGCAGGATGCTGAGGGGGGAGCGGCCAGTCCCACCAGATGTTGCCATGATTTTGGTGTTGGGCTTGCGTCTCACGGGCTTGCTCCCTGGGGACAGAAGGAAACGTGTCAGTGTGGCATGACAGGGCTAGAGGCTCCTCCATTTCAAATGCCTCCTGACCTTCATGACCCAGCTTGCTTCCCTGCACAGCAAAGGCTGTTACCCAAGGACTCCCACATGACGGTGTCACAGAAAGGTTGAGGTTGGGAGGGACCTCCCATGATCCAAGCCCCCTGCTCCAGCAGGGACACCTAGAGCCAGTTGCCCAGGGCCACGTGCAGATGGCTCCTGAGTATTTCCAAGAATAGAGACTGTAGTCTCTCTGGGTAACCTGCTTTAAGCCTTGGTCACCAGTGAAAAAAGGCTTCCGGATGTTCAGTGGAAGCCTGTGATCCAGTTTGTGCCCATTGTCACTAAAAATTATGACAAAAAGAGTCTGTGAGCCCTTACACCTTCCCTTCAGGTATTTATACAAGGTCTCACTGAGCCTTCTCTTCTGCAGGCCAAACAGTCACAGCTCTCAGCCTCTCCTCACAGGAGAGGTGCTCAGCACAGGGCTGTTTGGAGCAGTCAGTATCACACTATCAGCACCACACAACCAAGCACTTAGGTGTGCTTTGCACCCTTGTTCCCCAGCTCTCCCAAGGAGAACCATGAAGTGGTTCAGGTTGGAAGGGATCTCAGTTCCAGAAGGAGAGGGAACTGCTTGAAAGAGTCCAGCACAGAGCCACAAAGATGATGAAGGGAGTGGAACATCTCCCTGATGAGGAAAGGCTGAGGGAGCTGGGTCTCTTTAGCTTGGAGAAAAGGAGACTGAGGGGCGACCTCATCAGTGTTTACAAATATGTAAGGGGTGAGTGTCAGGAGGACAGAGCCAGGCTTTGTTCAGTGATGTCCAGTGATAGGACAAGGGGCAATGGGTGCAAACTGGAGCACAGGAGGTTCCATGTGAATATCAGGAAGAACTTCTTTCCTGTGAGAGTGACAGAGCCCTGGGACAGGCTGCCCAGAGAGGCTGTGGAGTCTCCTTCTCTGGAGACATTCCAACCCACCTGGACACGTTCCTGTGTGATGTGCTCTGGGTGACCCTGCTCTGGCAGGGGGGTTGGGCTGGGGGATCTTTCCAGGTCCCTTCCAACCCCTGGGGTTCTGTGATTCAAAGACCATCTGGATCCTGCCCCCATGGGCACTCCCCCTGGGTCAGGTTTCTCCAAGCCCCATTCAACTACGCCTTAAACACTCCCACAGCTTCCCAGGGCAGAAACCCGAGAGAAACTGCAGGACCCGGAGAACGGCTCATTACGTGTGAGGACTGTAGAGTGAGAAGCCTGTCCCAGGGAGGGGAAGCGCTGACATTTACCTCTTTGGAGGCAACAAACGACTGAGAATTCCGCAACTCCCAACAGACTGAGCAGCCAGGCAGGGCCCCGCGGG